ACACACACACGCGCGCGCGCGCGCACGTACACACACACACGCACACACGCACACACATACACACACACATGCACACACACGCACACGCAAACACACACACACACACACACACAAACAAACAAACACACACACACAAACACACACACAGAGGCACACATAGACACACACACTGTGACATACACACACAAACACACACACACACACAAACACACACGTACTCACACAGACACACACACACAAACACACACAGACACACACATACACACATGCACGCACACGTGCACGCCCCAAAGAGAGCTAAGAGAAAGCTGGAGAAGATATAGAGGAAAGAAACCAACAGTGCATTTTACATTGTTTTCAGGAACTGCAGACAAGACTGGGGAATACAGATGGTGTACAGACAGGCCAGCTTCCCCACCCTGAAGATCAAGTCTTTCGTCTTGGAGAAACCAGACGGAACGAGATTGACCTGTCGTAAGTGGAAACAAGCCCCATTTGAAGTCGGTGACATCACCAGTGACGACATTTCAGGGATGTTGGACTCACCAGAGGAAGAAAAATTAGAAGAAAAGAAAGAAGAACCAATGTACTACTGATATTCTAGTGATTTACAGCAGCGTTTGCAGATTAAACTGTAGCAGTAGTGCAGTATCTTAGCTACACCTACTCTCCAAGGTTAAGGAATAGTACACGACCATACTGCGTAAAACTGTTGAATGAATGAGTTAAATGTTGTAAGGCTAACACATTTCCTGGGTGTTGTTTCCGAAAACAAATATTTAAGACGATTGTCGATTACGTTTTTTGTCATATACATCTGTAATATTTTACCAAGACAGATATTTAAGAGAACGGTCGATTTTGTTCATTTATGACAAATGGAGTGGGAAGCTGCCTGTATATGAACGCCATGGTGAGACCAAAAGTATGTGTGTGTGAGTGTGTATTGATATTATATTTAGTTTATGTAGTGAACCATCCCGATACATGTGTTATTTTCCTTTTGAGTTATACTGATTACGTCTGTTCAGTTTGTTTTGTTTTCATTAGTCAAAGAGATATTATGATTCCATCACCCCCACCTTACCCAGATGACACATCCCAGAGGCCATGACACAGGTACAGCTTCAAATTTCCAGTTTTAATTGTAATGGTATTGGTAACTTTATTAAATGTGGGGAAGTTTTTACTTGGCTTAGAGATAAACCATATAATATTATTTGTCTTCAAGAGACTCACTCTACCCTACCTGTTGAGACCAGATGGCAAAATGAATGGGGGGGGGGGATCCATGGTATTTTCACATGACACTTCCAATCAAAGAGGTACAGCCATTTTGTTTAAAAATGATATTAACCCTGATATCCATCAAGTTAAGTCAAGTATTGATTTGACTGTTGATAATTATAGATTTTGTTTGTTCGCATAATGTTCAGATGCCATGGCTGTACCTCTTTGACACCCCAATCCCCTGGAGACTAGTCTACACTTCTATTATACATTGTACCATTGATCCGATAACCAGGTTTTTTTCAATATAAAATTGTTCATAAATTTTTACCAATAAATAGGTTATTGTATATCTGGAAATGTATAGACAGTCCATTATGTTCATTTTGCCATGAGGAAGAAGAAACCTACCTGCATGGCTTTTGGGAGTGTCCGCATTTAGTTTCTTTCTGGGATAAAATTCAAATATGGTTTCATCAACAGACTGGACAAAGACTACAGCTTAATTCTTTTAATGTCATTTTTGGTAACTTAAATTCAGAAGCCCCTGTTATAGGTAACCCTGTAATTTTATTAGCTAAAAGAGACATTTATAAAAGCAGAAAAGCCAACCATGTTACTTTTCAATCTTTTCTTAATTATGTAAATTTCTTTCATACGGTAGAATATTCTATTGCTGCAAGAAGGGGAAATCTGCAGAAGCATCGTGGCAAATGGGGCACTTTATTATGTTCTTGAGTGTTTTCATTATCAAAATTATTATTTCAATTATGATATGAAATATATGATCAGTGATTATTATAATTATTGTTATTATTATGATCAGTTGTGATCAGTTGCATTATTATTGTCATTACTACGATTATTATTGTTATTCTGATCAGTTATTTTTTGATCAGTTATTATGATCAGTTATGAGTTGAGTTATTATGATCATATTTATTTTTGATCACTTATTATTATGATCACTTATTATTATGATCACTTATTATCATGATCATTTATTATTATGATCACTTATTATTATGATAACTTATTATTATGATAACTTATTATTATGATCACTTTTATTACCATCAGATATGAGTTGAATTATTATTGTTATTATTTCATCATTCTGATAATTATTATTAGGTAAGGGTGGTTCACTACATTGTATATTGTATGCTTATTGAAAAAAAAAAGAGAACGGTCGATTAAGTTTATTGTTCATTTATTTTTTACTCCATCTGCTTTGTTAACACACTAAAATTCAAGCATGGTGTTTTTAATATGTAAAACATTTCTCAGTCTACCCACCAGCAACAAACAAAATGGCGGCATGTTGTTTACGTATGCATACGTCTAGCAGTGAGATCAACCCACAAGCAAGGATTCAAATCCATGCCACAAGCATAATGGCGGCATGTTGTGTACGTTTCTATGCATACGTCTAGCAGTGAGATCAACCCACCACCAACAAACAAAATGGCGGCACATTGTTTACGTTATTATTACTAACGTACTATGCATACGTCTAGCAGTGAGATCAACCTACCACCAACAAACAAAATGGCGGCACATTGTTTACGTTACTAACTTACTATGCATACGTCTAGCAGTGAGATCAACTCACCAGCAACAAACAAAATGGCGGCACGTTGTTTACATACACATGAAATTACATGTCCCGGCTTCAAGCACAGAATGATGTTCTGGTCACCTCTACCTGCACTATCAAACTTTTTTCATACCACTAAAAATGATAGTACAAAACAATTGAGTCCTGTTTGTTACATTGTATTATCGCTATCGTTACATCGTATTATCGTATTATCGTTACATTATATTACTTTTATTATCGCTTATATGGCAGCAGTTGCCTCGATTTCAAGGACACCATGTTTTGCCTTGGGCGGTCTATAAAGGCACTGTATGAATGCACTGCGTAGAAAGCTAGATTGCGTGGAAAACTACCATGCAGGGCTAGATATTAATATAACCCCATCAATTAACATCGCAGCGGGACACAAAAGTCGCGTGTATACCTTCTGTATACCTACAACTGTTTGAGTGGTTTCTTATTGTATTCTTGTTGATTACTCGACCCACGGTAGAGGATTAATGTTTGAATAATTGATGTAACAGGTGTGTCTCTGGTGAGGTATTGTGGAGAGAACAGACGTACTGGTACATGTAAGTTTCACAGAGAAGGCTCGTTCGGCATTTCTTGCTACGGTGACAGGAGTGAAACCAGTCTGTGTTCAACAGTGTAGAGGTGAGTTTGTTTATGATGAGGTCACATTTCCAAACAGGGGCCCGTCCTGGCAGTTAGCAGGAACAAAAAGTATGGTACAAAGGACATTTAAACACCAAAAAAGTGGAAAATGTTATCAAGAGCGCTATCTGTGTATATTCTTGATATGAATTGTTCATTTTTCGTTTATAAAAACAGCCCAACCGGGCCCTAGTTTGGAAATGTGACCTAGGCAAAAGCCGGCGTCGCTAGTTACCGTCTTGTAAACGGTCGTCCAGAACATTCGTCGCCTTTTCCATGCCATATCGCTAACTGCTCGATGCCATATCCGAGCGTATCATAAAATTTTTGAGGTCCAAAAACGTATCAAACGTAATATTATACTACTAGTATAAAAGCAATATACAAATTGCAAATGTAAGGAAGGGTCATGATGAAAAAAGGTATTAGTAAAAAAAGAAAAAGCACAACCCGAACCCGGGTCAAAAAGCGTAGCTCTAAAATCCTAACTTATACCCTAAATCTCTACGCCACGAACCATCGCGGTGTGAATGGACCGTTAACCGTTCTTCGACCGTTTCAAAAGGCGACGACCGTTTACGACACGTACAGATATTAACCCCGACGTCACACAGTCCACACGTACAAGCATTGGTCGTATACGTTGATCGCCGAAAGGTTGCCAAATCTAAAAATCACCGGAGAGCCAAACGTATTTTTGCGCCCTGATCGTACAATAATAACATGCACAACAAATATTAACAAGCCTGAAGGCAACCTGTTGATGATTGGTCCGTATAGCATGTAGTCCAGATCATTCCTTTTGTAATGTTATACCTCCTCTGCCCATATGTTTGCTTCTACTTCTATTTTTATTATTATTATTATTATATTTGCTATTCGTTGTTTCGAGTCTGGGACATTCGTGAACCACTATTATTTTGTTTTGATGTAATATTTGATCAGACCGTACTGTGGAAGATTCTTTGAACAATAGTAGAGCATCAAATATCACATGTAACTCCCACCTCGACATTGTGAAGCACGAGAGAAAATATGGGCAGTATGCCATTGCATTATAGGGCACACAGCAAGCTTTTGCGGCTACCTTTGCTGTGTCCAGGGCGGGGACCAAGGCGGATATTAGCTCATCATGATCAAACCTAGCCAAGTAAGGATGGCCCGTGATAGGTCACATACGTCCATCAAACTGAAGGATGAGGCTATTGACAGGATCATCCTGTTAATACAACACAGCAAATCATTACTATTGAAAGTATTATTCTGTAAAAGTGGTTGCATGTAACATGTTGGTAGAATATTTTCATTTTTAAGTTTTGACCGAGGTAAACAGGACAATAGGATTGGTCTTAAGACACAAAATAATTTTCTGATCGACATAACTTTAAAAGGTCTATAACTACCTCACTGATAATTAGAATAAATAAAAGTATAAAACCTTTGAGTTGTTTTTTCTTGGTGTACACAATAATGTATCTCTAGTAAACTGGTAGCGGTTGTGCAGTCGATTTTACTGACATCATGTTTCACATTGAGCTGTCAATGCTGGAAAACTACCAGGCAGAGCGTGCTATAAACCAATCAATTAACATCGTAGCGGGACACAAAAGGTCGCATGTATACTGCCTGGTGTCTAGTGGTGTTCCATTGAATTCTTGGAGATTAATGTTTGAATTATTGATGCAACAGGCGTGTCTCTGGTAACGTATTGTGGCGAGAAGAAACGTAGTGGTCAGTTTGACTGAGCAGGCTCGTCCTATACGTCTGCTGTGGTGGCAGGTCTGCACTCAGTCTGTGGTCAACAAAGCAAAGGTGAGTTATAGAATAGTTAGGGCAGATGTTTTTCTTTCCTAGGTAAAACCAAATGGCGTGTGGGCTGAAATCCAAACTAGACGACTTCTGCTTCTCGAGTCACCACTGCTACACTCTTCCCCGGGCCTCCAATACTCCGCGCATGCCCTTCCTCCGGGGGGTCAGGGATTGAATCGACTTAAAATAATACCCGACCCCAGTAGTAGTGCTACGTCAGTCTCATCCCTGTGTGTGGAAGCATGAAGAGAAGAGTCAGGGGTCGAACGCGTAGGTCTCACATACGACCCTTGTACGATCGCATAATGATTGCGTTTGTGGAATGGCCATTTATGCATCGAAAAAACACTGTCTGCTTCCGAAATTGTCTGTCTTAGATCCTAGTCAGCGGTTGGTTCTTATCAGCTTCCTTGAAAGTCCTACGATATCGTACAATAATAACATGCACAACAAATATTAACAAGCCTGAAGGCAACCTGTTGATGATTGGTCCGTATAGCATGTAGTCCAGCCCATTTCGTTAGTAATACTATACCTCTTCTGCAACGGTTGTCATACGTTTGCTTCTACTTCTATTTTTTATTATTTGCTATTCGTGGCTCCAAGTCTGGTACATTCCTGAACCACTATTATTTTGTTTTGATGTAATATTTGATCAGACCGTACTGTGGAAGATTCTTTGAACAATAGTAGAGCATCAAATATCGCATGTAACTCCCACCTCGACATTGTAAAGCACGAGAGAAAATATGGGCAGTATGGTTGCCATTATAGGGAACACAGCAAGCTTTTGCGGCTACCTTTGCTGTGTCCATAGGGCGGGGACTAAGGTGGATATTACCTCGTCATGATCAAACATAGCCAAGTAAGGACGGCCCGTCAGAGGTCACTTACGTCCATCCAACAGAAGGATAAGGCTATTGACAGGATCATCCTGTTGATACAAGTACAGAAAATCATTACTATTGAAAGGATTATT